TTATGATATGAGCGGGTATCAATCAGGGAGTTGCTAAGGCTGGTGCTTTTGAGTAGTTGTTCCTGTCTCTGCTTACCCTTAACTGTGCTAACCTAGGCGCACTTGAAGCAGTTTCTGGTATCTGGGGCTCATCTTGATTTTCCACAAGCTCTCTAGAAACTCGCCTCCTACTCCCTTCCCCATTCATAATCATGCGTTAAATCTGGACTCAAGGACATATTTAGGTTAGCTCAGCAAAGGTTTTACACTTGACGTTTTGGGGGACAGCCACTATGCTAAAAGATTCACAAAACTAATATTCTTTGTCTTCAAAATTAATCTGGTTTCTATTGAGAGTTTCTGTTGCAAGTGGCAGTCGGTAACAGATGTGTGCCCGAGAGGTTGTGCAGCTTTCCTGTTCCAGGGCAGAACAGTTCCTTATACGAATTTAATGACTGTGATCTGCGACTCCAGTGTGGAGACATTAATCCACTTATTTACCATATCATACTTTATTTTGTTCTCCAAGGGAATCTTGACTTCCATTTGCCTTCATTTTTACTTAAATAAGAGTTTCAGCGACATAGCGTTGGTTAGCACTAATCCAAATGTGTCTTGTGTTTTTGTGTCATTTGGGCACCATTGTTGGAGGATCAAGTACTGTCTCGGAAGGCGCACCTAGCTAGATAATGATGGCTTCACCAGGCCCTTATCCTGACCAGGCCTCTGGGCATTGTCTAGATAATTAAAATTAGATCACAGTGCACCTTAGTATAGTAAGATTTTGCTCCATTTAAACCTGATTTTAACCTCCCTTCCCCCTTTTTTAAGTGTGTTTCCTTGGCCTAGTGAATTTGTTGTTTTGTTGTTGTTGTTGTTGTTGTTGTTTTTCCCAAGGATTTTAGAAAGTGCATAGCAGATTCAGCCTTCAGAATACCCAGGAGCTGAAGACTCAAGTGGACTGCAGCTGTCTTCACCCACAGTATTGTAAAAGAACTAATGAGATGAGAAGCCTGCAGCTGGTGGCAAGCACACTAAACCGTGAGCCAGGGGCTTCTCTTCATCAGAGCCTCCCTTTCCCCTGGGACCCCAGAGGAGACAGAATACTAACAAAGCCAGCAGGCTGTCTCATTCCACACTATTGCTCATTTGCAGCTGTAATTGGTAGCTGAGGTTGCATTCTGTATGCTGAAACTGTCATACATTAAGGAATATATTTGTTCGTTGTGATATGGATATAAATTGACCAGTTTCCAAATCCAGAGACCAAATCAGATACCCAACAATAAAACTCAGCGAGAAGATACTATTCAAGAAAGAAATTAATGTTTATTGTAGAAATACAAAACTGGGGTTGTGAAGACTGTATCTGATTCCTGCCTTTTCAAATCATGCTCCTCAATCCAACTGATTAAACATTTACGGATTCAAACCACCAAACGCAGTGTCTAGGTTTTGACGAGGGGCATTATTCTCATCTGTCAGGGTTAAGGTGCCATTGTTAATAATTGGGTTATGTTATATTTTCAGTATAATATCTTTAATGTTCGCTGCTTTGCATTCGAGAGAAAACAAAGGGTTCATTCTATGTAGCCACCTCAGGAAGATACTAGGATACCCATCTTGGATTTTTGAATGTTTACTTCCTGGGATTGCTGACACCTATGGCTGCTCTGTGTGGTAGTTATGTGAGCCATGGCAGAGAGTTCAGTAGGGCTGGAGAGATGGCTCAGTCTTCCAGAAGACCAGGATTCAATTCCCATCACCCACATAGTGGTTCACAACCTTCTGTAGTTCCAGTTTCAGGGGATCCAGTGCCCCCTTCTAGCCTCTGAGGGCAATGTATGTCTGGGGGTGCACAGATACACATAAAATGACAGTCTGATATAGGAAGCCAGCCGTGTCAGCTCCTCACTGGATGGTAAGCTTCGTGGTGTATTTTAGAAAAGCATCCTGGGCTGCCTCGCATTGATGATGAAGGCTTGCAGGTGCGCCTTCTGAAATGGCGTCAGGTCTAGAGTGAGGCTTTCACAAGGTTTTCAGTGTCTTTAGTTTTTGCATCTACTGCAGATGGGTTCTGAAGATGCATGGCATGTCTGCCTGGTGTGGTGCTGGGGTAAAAGATAGTGAGGTATCTATTCTGACCCTTCTCTAATTGATGCCTTTGCTGGTCAGAATTTAAACCAAGTTCCCCCTTCGTCATAAAATGCTTGTTCCTCATGTGTGGACTGCCTTTATTTAATGCCATTGGTTTTATTGTGTACACGTCATTGTGTGTTTACTTCTTCCCATAGGTGTGGGCAGTTTTAAAGTTTGCAGCACCTCCACAGTTTCCCATACTGTTCTAACTAAAATCCTGTTCCCCCCTTTTCTTTCACAGTTTAATGCATCCAAATCAGTTTGTCTCCCTGCTGTGATATGTGTTAGCCTTCTGCATCTTTATTATTGATGGCACATAAAACAGTGGTACAACCTATAGCTGTCAACTACTCATGCTCAGAAATGTAGTGTTTGCTATTCAATTCCCTTTACAGTTCAGGTTTTGTAAAAAGAAAAGAAAAACATGGCTGGTATGGTCATGGCCACATCACACACCAGTCCATAAGAGATGGGTTCACTCTTAAAGAGAGTAGGCTGATAAATCATGGCCAGCCTTCTGGACATTAGGCTGACGAGTAGAATTTAATTCTTAATATTTTAAACATGGTATGCCTTTCTTTCTACTTTTGTTTTTGTTTTGTGCAACAGTCTATAGACCAGACTGGCCTCAAACTCACAAAGATCTGCCTGTCTCTGCAACCACTGCCTGGCTTCTTTTAATATGAAGGCCACTTGGCTCTTGGAAGGGGTGTGTTCTAGACTGGTTTAGTTTTGATTCTGATTGTATGGTCTTTCTTCTCTCTTGGTAGTTAGTGCATACTTCTTTGTACCTGTTTTGCTTTATTTTGTCTTGTATGCCTCTTTGAACTAGACTGACATTAGGAACTGGCCCTGTGTTCTGGCCCTTATCATCTTGTGGTGACTGTTACAGGGACTTTGATGGAGGGAAATGGTGCTGGAAGTGGTTGTTTGATGCAACAGTGCTTTTTAGTTTGGGGGAATGCTTTAATTTTGAGCCTCTGCTTTAGAAGAGAATGGTTTAGAGGCTTACAGGTATGCTTTAGTTCAGGTAGCTTACTTCTGCTTGTGAATGCAAGTTTTGGGATCACTTATTCAGTTGCTTCTTTCCTGGGTCTAAGGAAGCATGCCAGTTTTTTATGATGCAGGGTAAGCTGGAGTCTATGAACTTATCCCAGCTGGCAGAGATCGGAGTCAGTGCTGTTGTGTTCAAAGTCAAACAGGTGGAGTGACTCCGGTTCTGGTGGTCCTGCCCCTGGGGAGCAGCTCATCCCTGTGTGTCCTTTCTGTGTAATGAGGCCAGTCAGTGTCCTGGCCATACCACATTAACTATTTCAAATCATTGATCTAGTAAGGCCAGCAGGTTCACATGTTTAATAGTTTCAGCCCTTTCTTTCTCTAGCTCCTGAGACAGTGCTAAGACGGCCTTCCAGTCCAGAGTCACATGCTTACCCCAGCACGCTTCTGAAAGGTTTAGTTTTTACATAATCCTCACTCCTTTACTTTCTCACGTGGTTCATTTGTAACCCTCCCTAGGAATTAGCACTCATATGGTCACTTCTAAATGGCCATTGCCAGTGTGTCTTCTTCACTTGGGGAAGTGTGTGTTGTACTTTGGCGCGTGTTCCATGCATGCCTTGCTTGACCGGCTCTTACCTAAGAATTGCAGTTTCCAGCCAGGGTTTCCTCTCAGCCTTGTCTGGGCCCTCTCTGCAGTGTTTGTGCCCTTCACAAATGCTGTGAAGACCTGGGCCCTGGGAGCCTTCCTGGAAGAGGCACTGTCTCCAGGCTTTAGACTGACCCCTGGGCCTACATTGTGACTGTTAGTGAAGTTCCCGCCATTTGTTCATACTCCAAAAGAAAATTTACTTCTGTGGAGAGAGCAGAAGAAGGAGGGAGATGAAGAGAGGAGGGGAGATGGTCAGGCACTTCAGACAAGTAAAATGATTTAACCTACAATTTGTCAGGCAGGATGCACTGAAGGAAATAGCTTATGTGAATGAGTTGCAGATTTTGGGGTCACCTGTGGCTTGCCTCAGATGCGTATGAGCGCTCTCTCCCTCCCTCCCTCCCTCCCTCCCTCCCTCCCTCCCTCCCTCCCTCCCTCCCTCCGTCTCTGTGTCTCTGTCTCTGTGTCTCTGTCTCTGTCTCTCTCTCTCTCTCTCTCTCTCTCTCTCTCTCTCTCTCTCTCTCTCTCTCTCTCTCACACACACACACACACACGCGCGCGCGCACACACACACGCGCACACACACACAGTCCCTGCCTCTCGTGACGGTGAGGGACTTAGAGGAGACACACACACACACAGTCCCTGCCTCTCGTGACAGTGAGGGACTTAGAGGAGACACACACACACACACACACACACACACACACACACACACGCGCGCGCGCGCACACAGTCCCTGCCTCTCGTGACGGTGAGGGACTTAGAGGAGACACACACACACGCACACACACAGTCCCTGCCTCTCGTGACGGTGAGGGACTTAGAGGACATAGCCCCAGCAGGAAAGAGGGAAGCACAGCAGCAGGGCCTGTGGTCTGCTCTAGTGCAGTAGTGGCTCACAGTGGCAGAAGGAGCCTAGGGTCATTCAGGTGTTGTTGACAGTGAGGTGCGCAGACTTCAGCTCTTGACTATGTCTACATGACTGCCAGCCCTAACCATTAAACTCTGCAGCCCAGCGTCTAGTCTTGGTGGACTGCTGTCACTTAACCCTCCTACTTACATAGTTGAGATAAAAGTTTAAAAAGTAATGAGATGCAAACTGCAGATGCCGTGTGTGGACTGTTTCCCCCATGTAAAAGCACAGAGAGCTCTAGCTGCAGAAAGCTGCCTGGCAAGTTAAAGAGCGGTTTATGGTTTTCTTCTTCATCTTTGACTCTGTTTTGCTTTGCAGGACTACAAACCTGATGAAGACCCTGCATTATTCCATTCAGTGAAGACCAAGAGAGGCCCCTTGGGACCAAACTGGAAGGTATTGGCTGCCAACCTTGCTGACAAGTGGCGTCTTGGCAATATAACACTTGACAGGTTCCGAGTCTTAAAGAGGTGGTAGTGTTTAAATGAAAAATAAAAACTGCACAGAGGGTTTTATTTGCAGTAAGAATTTAGGACCATTTGCAGTTGACCTGTGTGTGTGCGTGCTGCATTGACAAACAGAACAGAGCCATGCTCTGCTGAGGTACCTGAAGAGAGGCAAATGGTTTGCTCTTGGGGGACTGCAACATCCCCTGGCTCCAGACGATACAGAAATCCATGTGAAATGAAGGTTTTGTTCTTGGTTTTTCTTTGAGACAGGATTTCTCTGTGGCATTGAAACCTGTCCTAGAACTAGCTCTTGTAGACCAGGCTGGTCTCGAACTCACAGAGATATGCCTGCCTCTGCCTGCTGGGATTAAAGGCGTGCGCCGCCACTGCCCGGCAAAATGAAGGTTTATAGTGGGGTCTATTCAGCATCAACTCTAAACAAGTTCCCTTCACCCAGGTGTTTCCCTGACCTTTTTTATAACTTTGTTTCTGGAGAGCAGGACACCAGAGCACTCTGTATTTGTAGTCAGGTAGAGCACACCTTCACCCTATTCACAAAGTAGGAAAAGCAATTCCAACATGGTAGTGTTGTATTGTGCTCTACACCAAATGGAATCCCCTAAACAAGGCTTACAGGTTATTCTGATCAGTTTGACAGACTAGGAGACACATGGAAACCCAAACCTGACCCGAGCAGGATTTTCACCCACAGAATTGTCTTGGCAGCCAAGCTGTAACATGCTAGTTACAACTTGAGGGGACAGTGCAGTGCTAGCTGCTCCTGTAGATGACCCTGTTAGAACTGTATTGTCAACTGTTGCACATCGGTCAGCTAAAAGGAAGGAGGGATCTGACTTTGTTTCATGTGAAATGAGTCATTGCCGGTTGTGGTTAATCCCAGGCCGCAGGCAGATCTCTTGGGAGTTCAAAGCCAGCCTGGTCTACAAGAGCTAGTTCCAGGACAGCCAGTGCTATACAGTGAGACCCTGTCTTATCAAGGAAATAAAGAATCATACTTTGTCTTATTTCCACATTTGTTTCCAAGGTAGAGTTCAAAACTCTTCCAACCATACATTAAGTACTAGAGACTTAATGCTCAGGAAATGGTAAATGTCCCATGAGCATCATCTGAGCCCACTCAGTGTTTGCTCACTGTCCCCACTCCTAGGTCAAGCTGATGGCTCTCCAAGGTGTATCCCTGCTGAGGTAGCTCTGCTGACTCTGGCTAGCATTGCTTTTACAGGGGATGAAGAGGCAGAAGGCTTGTGACAAGACCCTGAGTTCTTTTGTCCAATCACTGGTGTTTGGAGTATAGATTTTGCACACCTATTGCATGGTGGGCCTGTTTTGCTTGAGTGCAGAGCTTTCTCCATGGGAACAACTGGGAGGTTTTCTGACTAACCCCAGAAATGCTGGATGTTTTTTAATTTTTGATTGGTTTTTCTGGTTCTTAGGAAGTTATAATGTGTGTAATTAACATCTTGTTCTTGCTTTTTTACTGACATGTAATGTTTACCCATAGTCCTTTACCTCTGGTTGATGGTGGCTTAAAATTCTGGAATAGCTTAAGTTTGTTCGGTGGCAGGGTTTCATGGTGGGGCCCATGCTACCTAAGGGTCACCATATGGCCCAGGCAGCCCCTGAACACTTAGTGACTTCGCATTGCCCATGCAGAAAGCTCCTCCAGTCATTTGCTCACTTTATCTACACGGTGGTAGATGTGGATACTCTTAAAAAGCAAGCAGCTGCTAACCGAGCTGCCACGACCTTGGGAGGAATGGGGTAATGAAGAAAACAAGCCAAACCCATTTACTGGTGTGCAAGGACATAACGATTACATTGGTGCTGATAGCTGAGCCCATGTGGAGTGAGACCTGTGGACCTGACCAGCGGCGTGTGTCCTTACTCTGCCTGGTGGTGTTGGTGGCAGGCTGAGGACAGAAGGAATGTGTGTGGGCTTGACAAGACAGCTGTTGTGGCACTGCCAGCGAGTGCTGAGGGTGTGACCCATACATACTCTGTGCTGTTCTGTGCAGGCCAAGAAGTAGCCTCTCTGTGAGGCGTCCTAGCCTCATCCACCTGCTGCTTAGCAGCAGCCTGTCATTTACCAGTCCACATTCCAAAATGTGTCCAAGGCTAAGTGAGGACCTCAGAGTCTGTTCGTCTGCTTGTTGTTCAGGGGATCAGACCCAGGACCTGACATGTCACTGAGTTACACCCCAGTGGGCTTTAGCGCTTCTTTACTTGATGTGGGGATGCTGCCTGTGTGTGTACTGGCAGTATTCAGCTGAGGCTCTATAAAAGGCCACATTTCACCTTCCAAACTTCACTGTGGGGCAGCTACAAGTGCTTTGTTTATTATGAGTGAGAAATATGGCCAGAGAATCCCAGACAAGAGTTGTAGGAGAGACTGGTGCTTGCAAGTTCACAAGTTCACAGGCCTGAGTCCAGTGCTGCTCACGGGTGTAAGGTATGGGGTAGATCCTCAGTCATTCATCTACCTCGTTTGTCATATTATTGCATGTAACAGTTGAACTCTGTGCTCACACTGCTCTGCACAGTGGTCAGGACATCTCTAGTGATGGAGGCAAAAGAGACCCATGCAATACTGTAAAAGTGCGTGTATCAGGATTTAGATAATGGAAGCTCTGGGCCTCAGTTTGCATACCTCTAAAATGGGATTGTTAATACCAACCTCAAAAGTCATTGGGGAGATTGAATGACATGAGTAAGTGCTGAGCACATGAAGTTGTATCAGAAGGTCAAGTTCTTGAGCCTCCCCTTCTTGGGGCGTGTGTATTGCACTGTTTACACCACAGACTTCTCTAGTCCCAAGCAGTCCTGCATACTAGTAGCTAGGATTCGTTTGTCTTGGGTCACCAGCTTGTGCCCTTTGTCCTTAAGTGTTGAGTGAGTGCTTGGTGTGGGCCAGCCATCAGCCACAGAGATTAGAGGGCCTTCCCCAGCCTGGTGGTGGTGCTGCTCTAGAGACATTTTCATTTCCCAAGCTTGTCATGGACACAGGCTTGTTTCTCCCTTATGGTAGGACACATTTTTACTTAAAAACAAACAAAACTAGGGATGCACGATAGCCCTAGAGACACAAGCCATAGTTTTGTGCTCATTTTCCCTGAAGAAGGAAATAAAAGATCTGAGCACATGAATTATACTTTGTTACTTAGAGTTCAACATGAAGTGACTTTGTGCATCCTAATAGAGCAATTTATAACCTGATTAAGAATTTTGCTCCAAGGCAGAATTGCTGACGAACATCTTATTTCTCCATGGCACTGTGTGCGTGTACATGCATGCATATGTATGTGTAGATGTCTGTTTCTATCTGGAGGGTGTGTGTGTGTATGTCTTGTGGCACTGGCACGGCTGCTTCTCTTAAGGCTTCTAATAATATTTTACATGTGTGTTCCTCCTAGCTTCCTAGTTTGCCACTTCTGTGGTGTCATTCTAGCCCAGCAAAAGGCCTTGTATCTTTTTCTTTGTTTAAGCCAGACATTCTTGAAGAGTTAAGCTTCTGTATCTACAAATGGAAGATCGTTAGTAGCTAGGAGGCTCTGAGACCACCTCCCTCTGTAGCGTCAGACATGGGAGCATGTGCTGATTGGGTCAGGTAAAGGAGTTGGCCTAGAAATTACAGTGGTTTGGTATGTGTGCAAGTATGGTGTTCCTCAAAGTGCTGGCAGTTGGAACTTGACCTTTCAGACTCCTGCTATGGTCACTGTTCAGTCACACTCTAGAATAGCCCTCATGGCCATTCTGAGCCCTCCAGGCTAGAGAAGGACACTGCAAGTTGTGGAGACACCAGTTTGTTTCCTCCCTGTTCTCACGATTGCTTGTTCTTTCTACCCCATTTGTGTGAAAAGATGATAGCAGCCTTGTCAGATGAAATGTCAGATTTTGTACCTGGGATACCTGTTTTGTACCTGTTCCAGTGGACCTGGAGTACAGGTACCTAGAGCTTCCTCCTGTGGCTTGTGACCAGGTCCTTTCATGGTTCTCCTAACAGGAAGTGCTGCCTGCCATGCTCTCGGATCCTGACCTTGATGTGCCTGAGGCCCCTGGCAGCCAAAAGCATGCTTCCTTCTGTAGTCTCCTGTTTGAAACCCCGTAACTTGAATGTATAGAACTCAAACTTGTTTCTGGTTAGGCCAGATTTTGGGTTCTGTACAATAAAGATGTTGACAGACACAGCAGGTATTCAGGGGAGATTACACAGTTTGGTGACTTTGCTTTTAGCTTGAAGTTTTTAAAAATGCATTTAGTGCTTAGTATGTATTATGCTTGCAGAACTTCTCCCAAATGAGCAAGCCCATGTTTTCAGAAATCTGGATGTCCTGGGCTGCCTGCTAGCCTTCACTTTGGTTTGGCTGTGGAATGCCCCTGCTTCTAGGCAGAGCTGCAGGATTCAGGACTCTGGAATGTATGCTGCCTGATTTGGAGAAGTGACTTGGCCAGAGCAGACCTCTGGTCAGACTGACTCTTCTTGAGTCCAGTGGAGTGTGACCCTGCAGCTGTACTTGTACATGGTAACTTCCATCCTGAAGAGGAAGGATGTGATCTGTGCCATGTTGCCATAAGGGAGCATGGGCTATGATGATCTCTTCACATGCAGAGACCTTCCTGTTTGAGTTTATTTTCCATATTCTTAAACCACCTATGATTAGTTCATCCCACCATGAACCCCGACCCCGATAGAGGCATGTGGTGCAGTTGGTGCCTCAGGTCAGAGTGGCCTCTTTGTTCCACCTCCTGTTTTGTGTGAGGCCACCATGGTGTGTGGCATGTGGCAGTGGCTGGTGTAGATGTGCCCTCAGTGGGTGCTAGGTGCAGGCTCAGCTAACTGACATGTAGAAAAACAGTGCCCAGCCCAGGCCCATCTAGAAGACTCAGAACAAAAGCTGTTGCGGGAAGAGAAGATGGGGTTTTGCCTGAGATGATAGTGCACACACTTGGCATGTGTCTTGTGATCCTGTGTTGATGTTTGCTGATGCACACACTGGCAGTCCTCATGGCACGTTTATTTTTAACTTTCTCAGTGAGATTTCAGTTGGAAACTTAACACTGCAAATTCGGCCGCCAAAACCGAGCGTTCCGATTGCCTACCGTCGCAAAACTGAAATGCTGCGGGAGTGTGAGCCACACAGGAGACTGCTCTGCTCCTGCTGCAGAGCTTGACTCCTCAAATGCAGACACCCCATCCCACCCTCGTCCTACAGGGCGAGCCATGACGCTAGTGAGGCTTGAGAGGGACGGAGAGGACCAGGTCAGAAGAATGCCCTCAGACGCCTAGCTTTTCATTCTCCTACGTTCGTGTATATTTGTTTGTTCTTGGGGCTAACGTTGGCTGATTGCTCACACGCAGCTCCACATGCTGCAAGTCAGTCGTTCAGTCATGATGTGTGGTTGCTGTGTGCACTGCTTCCCTGAAGGTCTCGGCCACATGCCTCAAAGTAACCGAATACGTGCTCTTAAATTGAAAACATGATTTGACTTGGGAAGCTTCATTTATAGTTAGTAACATGAAATGTAAGGAATTCTGCGACTATACAAACTATTTAGATGCAATTTTGAAAACATTTTCCAGCTAACTAGTGCATGCTACATTATGGATGAAATTTAAATTAGGTGGGGAAAAACATAGCGTGGGATTCTTTTGTTAGTTCAGAAGTCTCATCTTACACAACTTCTCGTTGCTCTTTAGCCAACCAGTGTTCCTCTTCTTTTAAAAAAATTGCCATTTTAAATTTTACTCTACATAGAATTCACTTACTGGCAGAATAACAGTATTGTGAAGTAGAGAATCAGCCTTAGCTACCTTGATGCAGGTAATGAAATCTTCAGTTTGGGCTAGCCCTTCAAGAGGCAGTTGTTTTTAAATCAATAAGGAGGAAAAAATTCAGTCACTTTTGTATTGTTTACAAAGAACCAGGAAGCTGTGGCCCATAGCAGTTGAATTCCAGGGCCCTGATATCTGGGAATTTTTGAAAATTATGTTTGAATTTTTTTTTAATTAAGGGTGGAGAGATGACTTATGGGTAAAGAGCACTAGTTTTTGTAGAGGACCTGGGTTTAGTTCCCAGTATCTATATGTTGGATCTGGTGCCCTCTGTTCTGAGTAAGTTAGCACATTTGTATTTGCTTCTCTGATAACAGTGATAACTGATTTCTTAAAAAAAGGTGTTAATAGCTTTTCATCTCACCATACGAAATGTACCCCAGAACAATGGTATGGAAATGTTTAAAGCCCTGTTTGTTTGTTTGTTTGCTTGAGACAAGTTTTCTCTGTAACCTTGGCTGTCCTGGAATTTGGTTTGTAGACCAGACAGGCCTCAAACTCAAAGATCTACCTCCTGCCACCACCTCCTGTAAAGCCCTCATCTTGATCACTAGTTTGAAGCCTGGGCTAAGGGAAGACTTCTTAATTGGTCACTTAAACAGGAATGATACCCAAAATACCATGACTATATTAATTACTGAAGGAAAACATGTAGCTTTTGTATTGTCCTTATTGCTTTCCAGGGACTTCAGTGAGATGCTTCTATCTACCAAAAAGATTAAGCCAGGAAGTCGAGACAGCAGGCCTTTGTCTACCTGAGCAGATTTTAGTGGGTTTGCATATTCTTCTTCATAGGGTGGTTTTTTTGTTTGTTTTTTTATAACTGCTTGTAAATTGGATGGAAAATAAATATACATCTGAGTTATGGGCAGACAGTTTCGAGAACTAGGATTTGTTTCTCTTTTTTTTTTTTTTTTTTCTTCCCCCGTATTTTGAGACAGCATTTCTCTGACTTTGGAGGCTGTCCTAGAACTAGCTCTTGTAGACCAGGCTGGTCTCAAACTCACAGAGATCTGCCTGCCTCTGCCCCCCTAGTACTGGGACTAAAGGCGTGTGCCACCAGCACCAGGCTCATTTATTTTTTAAAATAATTTTTATATAGCCCAGTGCAGGCTCTATAAAGTGCTGTGTTAATTGGCTTAAGTAGCTTGCCAGCATCACTCACTAGGAAACCTGGTTCATTGTGGAGTCACTGTATGCTCTGTGCTTGCAGTCCAGCCTGTGGAGGGCGCCTGTGTTGCATTTAGTTCATTCTTCTAATTAGAACTGGGTTTCCCTTTGCTTTTATAAATTATGAGCGAATTCTGAAGGGTTGTTGTATGGATGAGGTTTGTGGAGATTAAGGTGTGCAGCTTACGTTCTAAAGATGCTGTTTGTAGCTTGGAGTTACCAGGACTAGTCCAAGCTGAAATTGCTTAGAGCTGTCAGTGTTGCAGGGCTAGGTGGCTGGGCTATAGAATAATTTACCCTGGGTGTGTGGACAAGGGCATGTGTAGGTACAGAGGCCTCACAAGCCACTGGATATAAAGAAGGGCATGTTTGGAGCTGAGCTTGCTCAGCCCTGGTTCACCTCATGGAACATGGAGTGATCTGATAGTCTAGAGGAGTGTGGAGCCTGGGAAGGTAAGGGTTCTGCATGGTAGGAACCACAGCCGGATCCGTGCCCCTGACCTGGTGCCAGCTAGACCTGCCTGACACTCGATCCACATTCTTCTCGTGCGCAGCAGTCCTCATGGCTCAAGGACCCCAGCATAGGCTCATTGCTTATTGAAGAGATAGTCTATGGAAGGCTCACCTTACCATCCTCTGTAGAACTTCAGATGCAGGGTGGCCAGCTTAGAACCAGGCTTGCAGTCAAGAAGAGGGAGGCCCATGTCAGTTACCTGGCCTGGTAGAAAAGAAGATATTCTGGAGACACCTGTATCTGTCTTAGTCTGACTTCAGGTTATTTTATCAGTGGACTCAGTGATAGTGATGGGGATTTCCCCAGGACTCTCCTGCTAGGAGAAGGAAGGTCGCCTGTTAATCTGGAGCTTGTCTCCCAGAAAGATATCCCACACAGTTCTAACAGCTTGTCCCCACCTTCAGGATGAGACTGAAGACCAGATGATGACAGGTCTTTGGTAGGTGGGACTGTGCCTTGATTTACACTTCCATTTCACGTTAGGACCCCAAAGATGGACTTGAGGGGTTTGCTGCATATCTTTGTCCCTCTTGCCATTTGACCACATTGAGAAGCCCTCCTTTTTTCTGCTTCCCATTATTAAATTGACACTTTTTTATTGGCTTATGGAAGACAGACAGCCAGACCTGACTTGACATACTTGTGACCCCTGTGTCTGATAATATCACTGTGTGCTACAGAGATGGATGAACAGTTCCCACCAAGGGCAGCAATGTTGTTTTGTCATTGAAAATGCACATATTTTCCGGGCAGTGGTGGTAGACACCTTTAATTCCAGAATGGGGGGGACGGTGAAGAGGTAGGCGGATCTCTGTGAGTTCAAGGCCAGCCTGGTCCTACAGAGTTCTAGGACAACCAGAACTGTTAAATAGAAAAACCACCTGTGAAAATTCAGGAAATCACACTGCACAAATAAAGCATATGTGAGGGATGGAGAGAAGACTCAGCAATAAGAGCATTGACTGCTCTTCAGAGGTCCTGAGTCCAATTCCCAGCAACCACATGGTGGCTGACAGCCACATATAATAGGATCTCATGCCTTCTTCTGGAATAAAGGTGTGCATGCAGGTAGAGCACCATATATATAAAATAAATCTTTTAAGACTTTCTTAAAAAAAGAAAATACACAAATGTTCTTCGAGTTAGTGTGGTATGTCTGGCCTGACAACACCTAACACAGGATGATATGTATATGGTCCACATGTAATAATTGCTGAAGCCAGCTTCAAAATGAGGTGTACAGTGAGTGTATTTATATAGACACAAACACACACACAGAGGCCAGCCCCTCCCCAAGGCCATGTATAATTAAAGCATAGTTGCATACAATAGGTGTTAGCTAGCTAGCTAGCAGCTAGATACTCAGGTAAATGTCTCATCACCCTCCCCAAACATACGTACGTATGTGTGTGTGTGTGTGTGTGCGCGCGTGTGCGCGCGCGCGCGCGTTTCTTTTCAAGAGGGACACAGTGGACTTAGGAGAACTTAACCTTTTTTAAGACTGCTGTTGACGAGAATTTCACCAAACATAAGAACTCCAGTGAGGCCAAAGAAGTAGTGGCACACACTTTTGATCCAAGCAGAGCCAAGCAGATCTCTGAGTTTGAGGCTAACTTGCAAAGTGAGTGTCAAGACAGCCAGTGCTACACAGAGAAACCAAAAATTACAATGACACCAGCTAATGAACTCATCTGTGAGACCACATAGCTGGGAAGTAAGTTGGTATGTGGCGGGAGAGGAATGCTGCTCTTTTTTGAATTGACTTCAAATTTGCGAATTAAACATGAGAGACTGGTTTTTCTTGTGTCTGTGATGTTTTGTATAGCAGTCAGTTTGATCAGAGCCTAACCACTAAGTCACAGTTTCTCTATTTTCTCACTCAGAAGGAGCTGGCAAGCACCCCTGACTGTCCTAAGATGTGTGCCTATAAGCTGGTGACCATCAAGTTCAAGTGGTGGGGGCTGCAGAGCAAAGTGGAAAACTTCATTCAGAAGGTAAGTCCGCTCATTTCAGGGCTCCCTTGTGGGAGACTAGAGAAAAGGCAGCCGTCGGGAAATGGTCTCAGTAACGAGCATTTTCTCCTTTATGACATGAAAGTTACTATACCTGTGTGTCTGTCTGATCCTCTGAAGGCGTCAAATCCAAAAGAGGGCATCAGACAGATACCCTGGATCTGTAGTTACAATTGCTAGAAACCAAACCTCTGCAAGAATTGCCATCTCTGCAGCCCTTAAGGGACTTTGTTGGGAGAAATGTGGTGCTTTATTTGTGCAATGTGATTTCCTGAATTTTCACAGGTGGTTTTTCTAGCACTTGGGTACAAAGCCCCTCCCATGGCTAGCCTGTCTGTGAAGAGACTGGTATCCTGACCACTTCTCGTGTTGTCTTGTTTGGAAGTGTCTTCTATAGAGGTCTTGCCAAGCAGTAGATAGACCCTGAATTGGTGACATGGACTGAGGATAAAGATAACTTAAGTAGTTAGATGAGGATGGGAGAGCACAGTGGTGTGTTTACATTAATGCTTAGTATTGCCCAATACCACATAGAACAGCAAAATGCACCAGCTTATAAATACACAGGAAGATGTGGGAATACCCTTTGTTTACTCTTCCTGTAGGACCCCCACTCTTCCTGTAGGACCCCCCTCCCCACCATCATAAAGATGTCTTTGAGGGCTGGAGAGACAACTCATTGGTTAAAAAGCACTGGCTGTTCTTCTAGAGGACCCGGGTTTGATTCCCAGCACCCATTTAATGGTCTACAACCATCTGTAACACTAGTTACAGGAGATGTATACACACTTTCTGACCCCGAAGGGCACTGCAAGTCTGGGGTGCAATGGCATGCATGCATCCACATAAAAAGACATCCTGCTACCCCCTGGATTATCAGAGTGGTTCTTGTGCCTATTCACAGCCAGCCCTTGAGCACACCCTGTACCTGATGGCCTTGTCTCCCCTTGTAGTAATAGGTTGACAGTCCACTTTAGATAATCAGAAGTCAGTCCCGTGTGTAAGCATGAAGTTTTCTGTTCATGGGAGGAAAAGTTGAAAATTGTTCCCAAAGTGTTGGTTGTTGCATGTACTTTGCTCTCTTTTTGGGAAAGTTAAATACAACTTAAATGGTTGGGTATTTAAAGCCTGTATTCTATACATGGTTTTCATATCTATGTTTGTGTGTGCGTACACTGGGCAATGAATAATGTAGAGCACAAAGTAATTAATGCACAGGCCCTAACGCTTTTCATCATTGTGCCTCTACGCACTGGGGGCTTTCCTTTAGTGCAGTGTGCCCTTTGATACGTAGGTGAAGACTGGGTCTAGTTTTATTGTAGAAGGATTTAGTTGACCTTTGACCCTTGAGGCCCAGCAGGATCATATGGAATTCAATTAAGCATGCCATGCATCTTGGTTTCTACTAGACCATTAATCCTTTTGCCAGTAGAGATTCTTTCCCATTTCGAGGGGAACTTTGAAAATAAGTTTTGAATTATGTATTTTGTTTGTTTAAATGCTTCAAGTTTGTTGCGTGGCTGTGTGTGCCAACTGCTTGGGCGTGGGAGTCGGTTTTCTCCTTCCACTGTATAAACCTAGAGATTGAACTGAAGTCATCAGTCATGCTTTGAGACAAGCACCATCACCTGTGAGCCATCTTGTTGCCCCTCACAGGGAATTTTATTTTCCTGTATAAAAATTATGATAGGGTAGAATTAATGTGGATGTAAAGATCTCATTTGTTTGTTTGTTTCTTGGGACACAGTCCTGGCTATTCTGGAATTCATTATGTAGACCAGACTGGCCTTGAACTGAGTGCTAGGATTAAAGGCATGCTCCACCATACTTGGCCTAGTTTCTGCTATTGTATGAGCAGGTCTTTTCAAACTAAGTGCAAGTTCATTTTATGAGCTGTTTGAGACATGTAAAGTCAATGTGTCACTCATTGGATGTTTTTGCTACTTTGTTTTAAAAGCAAGAAAAGCGGATATTTACAAACTTACATCGGCAGCTCTTTTGTTGGATTGACAAGTGGATTGACCTGACAATGGAAGACATTAGGAGAATGGAAGATGAGACGCAGAAAGAACTAGAAACAGTAAGACTTTTGCTGCGGTGGTTCTGTCTCCCTTTCTAACCCTGTGCGTGTTTAGCAAGTGTTGACTTGGAGTTAGTAGAGTTGCTGGAAGCCATTTCTCACCACCTGTATTTTTATCACTCTTGGACACTATTCCCTCCACCCTCCTGAAGGTGGACTAGAGCTGTCTTAACCTAGAATGTGCTCCTTGTAAGATAACATCCCGGTGCTTTGTGCTGGGTCTCAGGCATCCGTCGTCTGCGACAGTACCTGTCTCAGCCTGCTCAGCAGTCAGCTCAGCTCCCTCTGTAGGCAGGGTGAGGCTGGTGAGACCTCCAGGTCCAGGGATGCCACCTCCCCTCTCCCACCTAGCAACGAGCTCTTTTTCCTTGGAAAGTCATTGGCAAGGGGTCAGGGTAGCTTCATGACTAAACTTGCCCTAGCTCCTGCCCATAGTCAGTAGATGTCTGCACTCTTCAAGACCATCTTTCTTGGTTTCCTCCTACAAGGATTTGGTTTTGATTTTCTGCGTTCCCAAAGTGGGAAGTAAACCCAAGTCATGTCCAGGACCTTCAGAGCTTCCACACATTCATCCTGAGCCGTGCCAGAGGGCCTGGCTCTGCAAGCCCTGCAGATAGATGCCTATGTGAGGCTAGAGTCCCATGGAGTCATGGGGAGTGGCAGGAAGTCAGATTGTCTTATATTTATACTATATAACTTATAAACGGATTTTGCTCCATATTGTCTTAGGTTGATTGAATTTGGAATGTCCTTTCCCAGAGAGACAACATTATAAGGGATTGGCTTTCCTCTTACTGCAGCCAAAACTCTTGAGTTCTGGGTCTTTGGAGTAGGGTGGTGGAATGATGGAATCGCAGCAGATACCTGAACACAACACGAGAGTCCCTAGCCCGGAGGTGCCGACTCTTGCTCCCACCTGTGGCAGTAGGCGAAAGGTCAGCAGCAGCTCTGCCAGCTTTTTGGAAGGAGCACTGCAGCTGCTCAGGACTCAGACCGAACGAGGTCCCCGTGAACTTGCTTCACTCTGTCCTAGGTTCATCTGTGAATACTTGGGAAGTGTTTTAGGCAGATCTCAGCATTCTGTGCTGACCATCCTCACATTAGCTGCTCCTTGTGAAGTCACAGGAATATTTTATCCCTGCAGCAGTGCTAATGGTCCCATCAGTTGGGTCCTCAGAACTCGTGCCTCATCAGGCCTGTGGCTGGGAGCAGCAGGCAAGAAGCTCCTTCCTCACGAAGAAGCCTGCAGTTTCTGCAGGAATTTCTTCTCATGCCTAGTCAAGGACTCTCATACACTGTAATGTTTTTTAAGTCACGATATTTTAGACTTGAGAATGCCTGGCACTTTAAGTTGGGAATAGAAAGTACATGCACATGCATGCACATGTGTGTGGCCTGCAATTTGCAGAGCTATTAAGGATTAGCCAGGTGGTGGAGGTGAACTGGCCAGACCCTAGGGTGGATGGGGGGAATGGGTTGTTTTAGAAATACAGTATTTGTTGTCTGGTTTTCTCCTTTGAGGGTTTTGGTTTTGTTGTGTTGTTTTGCTTTGTTTTTGTTTGTTTTGTCTGTAGCTGTTATAAATGCCTGCTCCTTTGCTGGTTCTTTTTGCTGTGTGCTGTTCCTTTGTGTGTCTCTTCTTTTGATCCTTGTTCTTTTCAGTAAGCCTAAAAGCACTGAGAAACTGCTCTCAAAACAGACAAGGTAGCAGCAGCTTCACAGCTTCCTGTTTGGTCCAGAGACGTGAAAGGTGGACAGACTGACACCCGCCCCCCCCCCCCCCAAGCATTCTCTCAAAGCATATTGACACTTCCCTTGCAATTGTATCCCTGATAATTTGCTACCGGACTGGAGGTCTTTGTTTAGATGCGGGTACAGTTAACTTTCCAGGCTGTTTAAGGAAAGCCCCTATCAAGTTTGTTGAAGCCAGGACCAGTTGAAGGCCTCCTAACTCCGTCCCTTCTGGGGGAACTCCATCCCTTCTTGGAGATACATGAGAATCAGACAATCTCGATATAATCATTGCTAGACCTTTTTTCTCCACTTGCTTACTAACTCCTACATATAATCATTTTAGCAGCTCATGATTTTATTTTACATTTAGATGCGTAAGAAGGGTTCCGTCCGAGGCACGTCGGCCGCCGATGCCTAGATGAGTCCCCTGTAGGTCAGAGACATTTTCAAACTGTGTAAGTGATGATGACCTGGGTAAAAAGATGTCTAAAACTTGCACCTTTTGGTGATGGGGAGTTAACTGATGAGCCCGCCCCAGGCTCTGCCTGTGTTGACGGGATTCTACTTCTAGAATTGAAGAGGTGCCTGCTGCAAGAACTGTGAGCATGTGTGTCCTATGGAACATTCTGTGGGCTAGCTTGAATATCACCGTCTCCATCCCACTGCCAGTGTAGTTGCGCTTACTTAGTGACACTGCCCTGGAAGCTGGTTGACCTGATAGCCAACCAGTTAGTGGAACCGTCCCAAGGAAATCCAGATCCTTCCTGCCACACCATCAGGACAACTTCAGTAGCTCACTATAGATAAAATGTGTTCTGTGTGCCACAGTCTCCCTGTTTACTCTGTAGTTAACTTTGTAAGCTGAACATTTTCTGTGGTGTTTGCTACCAAAGCCTGTATGCCTACATGACACTTCCATAGATTGGGCAGAGAACATCCAGATCCATCCCACAGGCTTAGGCAAAGAATAAGAGCAGCAGAGCCTACTGTTCTGTGCTGGTGTCTGAGGACATGAGTGGGGCCATTTGCCCAGCCCTCACCGAGCCTCCTGCTCCATCAATGGATGTCTTCCCCACATTGACTGAGTGAATGGTGCTTGGTCGTGAAAAGGAGCTGCTGTGCCCAACAAGAACTGAGTGACACTTCTGAGATTTATCCAAAGTTTTCATTTCATGTTCATTCAAAACAAAACAAAGCAAAAAGCTTTTTTTCAGTTGTTGTCACTTTAAGTACTAACTTTCTGTGATTTGTTCCTGCTTCGAATTTACTTTTCTCTGTGATAGAATAAAATGTTTTGCCTTTAGCATGGCCAGGCCAGTCTTTTTAAACAAAAACAAAGTTTTGGGGTGCAGTAGTTTGGGGAATATTTTCTGTCAAATTTTGTCCATATTCAGTATTTCAGGAGAGCCCGTGGGCTAACTTCCTGTGTGCTTCTTCACTTTCTTACAGCTACGGAGTCAAGGCCAAGTGAGGGGAACAAGTGCAGCCTGTGACGAGTGAAGAAGCGACCAGTGTCTCTAGTGTTGATGTTTCCAGTGTGTGCCTGTGGTGACTCAAGTGCACACACGCACATACACACACACACACACACACACACATATATACACACACTCTGCGTATATGTGTGCGTGTCTGCAGATGTATGTAAAACACATGGTTACAGGCCTAGATACACAACAAGTGTATATATGTACATGCAAAACATTGAAGGGATCAGTACAGTTTCTCCAAAGTACTGTACCTATCTTCAGCAAAAATACTAAAGAAAATATTTTCCATATATATACCTGGAACAGATTTTAATAATCATCATCATGATGCCCTTGGTAGATAAATGGACTACCATGTGGTACTGGCTGGCGTGCTTCATGAATGCCAGGTGTGGACCAGTGTGTGTAGCCTTTGGTTATGTTTCTGTTGTTTTCAAGTCGCCCCACATACACTTTTATTTTCATCCCATCAGCAACAGACTCCTAAAGGAAGATGTCTTCAAATTTTTAGATACTACAGTGAATCTGCAAAGTAAACTCTGGTTGTATTTATAACTATTTATTTCTGGGTGGCCACTATCTTCCAGCCAAATCCAACGATATCTGTGAAGGAGTAAAATTAAAGCTATTTGCTAGTTTGCCCGAGGGGTGGGGAAATCCTTTTTTTAAAATTGCCACTTTTTATTGGATTTTTGTATTTTGAATTTCAAGTATTTTTCTACATCAAATCTAGCAAAAAACAGTGATGACGGTTTGTGATTTATAATAAACACTAGACAATATTCAGACTCTGGTTAAGCAAACAAGGCGATAAAGGAAGGTACACCCTCACGATATTGTAGGTTGTGCAGAGGACTTCTGTGGAGTTTTGTTTCTGGAATCCAGTCTGGAGACTATACAGACCATCTGTATTGCTCTGAACTCACGGGTGGAAGAGTAGTGACATTTAGCTGTTTTCCTATTGCAGTCAAAGCCAGGGGGAAATGCTGATGGTGAGCTAGGAACAGTTTGAATGTGGCACAAGGCTGTCACCATGCTAAGACCCAGCTAGATCCTGAGCATTGCTGCCAGCACTGCTTTCTTCCTCCCTCCTCCTCCTCTTTCTCTTTTTTTCTTTTCTTTTCTTTTCTTTTTTTTTAATAGCTAGGTAAGAATTTTTTTAATCAACTTTTCTGTCTAATGCTGTTTTCCCTTGTCAGTCCTGGAAGCATGAGCAGAATCATACTGTTGAAGCCTTCAGGTCACACACTGTCTTTTTAACCTCCACACCCCCAAAACACACCATCACAGAATCCTCCATTCCCCTCAGAACACATCACCTCATAGTCCTTCATGCCCCCCAGAGTACATCACCCCATAGTCCTCCATCCCCCAGAACACACCACCCTATAATCCTCTATTCCCTCCCCAGAACACACCGCATTAAGTCCTCCATCCCCCCTAGAACATACCACCTGTGCAGTCAACCCATTAGTAACTGTCTGCTGACATGACAGCCTTGCCCTCCATGTCCCTGCTCCCATGGGAGCAATGACAGGACTTCCCACTGTATTGCAACAACACCCTGTCATCCTCAGCAACAAACCCTGGGTTCCATGTGTCCTCTCTACTCAAGATAAATGGGCACTGTTGGGAGATGGGTGTGGTCACATCACTGGAGAAGTCACCAGAAGGGTCACCGCCAACCCCAGGCACAGGAGAACCCAGTCTCCCCCAGTGAAACTAACTCATGGACATCTGTAGTCTCATTGGGGACTTGGGCACACAAGGAAATGAGAGCCTGATGTGGACTCTAATTTTTTCTAACAACTATGGAGATTGAAGGGATGTGTGGTGAATGTAAAATTACCCCGTTGACTTGGCAATCTCTTGTGTAAATTACAGTAAAACAAAGCAAGTGAAATTGAAACAGAAATAAATTTGATCACAAAATGCCACCTGTGTGCTTGAGTGACTTTCCCTGGTGCCACTTGCTTGGAGCAGTGAGGAACACTTAGATGCTGGCTTCTCAAGAGTTCTCTGGTTTCAGCAACCCCACTCTGAGAAAGACACAAAGATTCTTGGTGTTTTGCTGGTCCTCTGAGGTGGCTTGTTCTTGACATGGGCCTGTGTTTTTAAAGTGCTCTATCAGACCTTGCTGTGATGTCAATCCATTAGTAACCGTCTGCTGACATGACAGCCTTGTCTGTCTCAAGATGATGGCTCCAGGATACTTTGTCCTTTAGAACATGGTCATTTCCGCTGTGCTCTGTCTTTAAGACAAGGCCTACTGCCTGAGCGGATTTAATGAGCAGGGTGTTTGAGGTTCCTTTCTCTTTTTTATTTTTTTGAGACAGGGTTTCTCTGTGTAGCCCTAGCTGTCCTGGCATTCACTCTATAAACCAGGCTGGCCTCCCTCTGCCTCCTGATTGCTGGGATTAAAGGCGTGTGCCACCACTGCCTGGTCAAGGTTCCTTTCTTGCTGTTCTATTTCAGATAAAGCAATGGCATACATGGTGACCTTGTCTCTTGCATCAATCTATCAGTCTGCGTGTACACAGGCACCTGGCACTCAACATAGGTTCTGAGGCACATAAGGCAGATGTGCAGTCCGGTGTGGGGGACAGACACAGATAGGAACAGGTACAACACAAGTTAGTGTGATACTCTTCAGGAGTAGTGTTGTAGGACAGACGTTACACTCACTGGACGAGCAAGAAATGGACAAAAGTCCTTGCAGACCTAGCAGCTGTGACCCCGGGATCCCTGGGACCTCCCAGACTCTTCTGCTCTGCTGTGGAGGGCACAGGCCCAGGCAGGTGATACTGCATGCACCCTTTTGAGAGATGGGAGCCTTCTTCCCTGTCCTGTCTTGGTCACTTTCCATGCTGCCTCCCTGTGTGTCCAAGGCCACTCCAACCTGTCTCCTCAGCCTGATGGTGTTTGAAGTGTCCCAGCCCAGCCCCGGCAGACATGTCTCGGGAGGGTAAGTAGCATTCAGCGCCTGTCATGAGAGAACACTGGAGCCCTCCAGCCATCCTCATGGAGAGCATGCTGACCTTGCTCTTAGGTCAGCAGAGTCCCCAGGAGTCAGAGGGGATTCTCAGCGTCTGTGGAGTTGCAGGATTCTAGGGCTTGGGTTGGTGTGGCTGGGAAGGAAAGCGAGCAGTGGAAACCAAGTACCGGCCCATCTTGTCTATGTGCTGCCTTGGGCAGACCCTCCCATACACTCCAGTCATGTTCCCTGATGGGAAAACAACATGCAGCTGCAGCTGACCTCACATACCTGTGAGCAGGTTACATCAGGGAAGTGGGAAAGGCAGATGCTCCTCTCCTTCCTGTGATAGTCACCCTTTAATCTATCTGATGTTACCATGATGTAGGGCTTCTCTGGAGAGGCATTCAGAACCAACCTCGTTCTGACATAATGAGCCTCCCGCACCCTGGAAGGCAGGCTCACCCTCCCAGAGGCTAAAGTTTCACACAAGGAGCCTTCATGACTACCTGGTCCATCGAATTCTGATGGGCTTAGTCCTGAGTTCACATGTGGCTGGATTAAGAATGTCTCCAGCCGGGCGTTGGTGGTGCATGCCTTTAATCCCAGCAGAGACAGGGCGGATCTCTGTGAGTTCGAGGCCAGCCTGGTCTACAAAGTGAGTTTCAGGACAACCTCCAAAATAATACAGAGAAACCCTGTCTGGAAAAACCAAAACCAAAAAAAAAAAAGAATGTCTCCATTCCAGCCATGGTCCTCTGACTGTCCAAAAGCCAGCCTGTGCAACTCCCATGCCCTGAGTGAATGTTTCATCATTCTAGAGAGACAGCCAACCAGTGCAACTCCCAGGCCCTGAGTGAGTGTATCATCATTCTGCAGGTCAACTTGACAGCAGCTGTGCTCTAGAAAACAAATGAAAACCTTTATAAATGCCACTTTCCCATCTGATGACTTTCTGTGGATTGGTCTTGGTGCATGCCCTCTTCAAAAGCAGGAAAGAAGCCCAGAAAAACCCCTGTCCTCTCCCAGAAGTACCAGCTCCTAGGAAGCCTGGGCCTGGCTGCTCCTTCGGGAAGCTGCTTGTTGTGCTAGTGGCCTCTGCCACCGCTCAACTCCTGCTTGGCCATCACTATGACTGATGGATGGTACCCTTAAATCTCTTATTTCACACTCTATGTTAGTGGGCTCTCCTCAGGGGCAGGTGTCATGCTGTGCCTCAAAGTCACCTCTTGTAATGGAAATTTCGATCATGAATGTCATTTTTCCCCATAGTAGATGCCTGCCAGTCCAGTGACAAGACACCTTAGCCTTGGAGTCTAGGAGGAACAAGATCTAGTTTATTCCCTTAGCCCAACAACACGAGGGCAGCGGCTCTGGCAACTGTCCAGGGAACTCCGAGTCTACCCTTTCTCCTTCCTCCCCATTTGCCAAAGCCAGAGGCTTCAGCACCCATTTCCCGACTGTCAGGGCATCACTAACGGCCGCCCTAGGCAGAAAGCCTAGCTGGTCCCCCAGGCTGGTTTCCTGGATGTGAAGGAGCCCCTGCTGCCCTTGGTCTCTCAGTTCAAGCTGTGTTCTAACCACCCTTATCTCAGGGAGGGTGTCACAAGCATCACATGAAAAGATAAAAGCTCACCGTATATGATGGTGCATGCCCTTAAACCCAGCACCAAGGGGAGACAGGCAAGATCACTTGCCAGTTCAAGGCCAGCCTAGACTACACAGGGAGTTCTGTACCAGCCAAAGCTGCACACGAAAGCACTGCCCCCCCTCCCCACTTTCTTAAGGGTTGTGAAGTATGTGAGGCTTTGACACCTGAGTGTCTCTATGCTTGATGCGGAAACAGCCAGGGCCCCCCAAAAACCTTCATGGTAGGACAGGTTTGACCAGTGGTCAGAAACGTAGGACCGTGTATGGATAGACAGTCTTGGGCTCTGCCACAATCAGCTCTCTAGAACCCCTGTGACGGTACTGTGTCCCTGACCCCATGAGGTCCAGAATGCCAATCGCCGTCAGGTGCCTCATTCTGATGCTGACTGGAGGAATCAAGGACAGTCTGCTTCCCTAGCTAAGATACTCAGAGACATAGTTGCAAGCATTTCATTTCCAGCCAGCTGCAAGGTGGCACTACGGTGAGTTCACAGAGAGTATTGAAGACATGTGCTGTCCCACGCTGTGGCGCCCCCACCTTGTTAACCTGGGCTTTGTGCCCTGCCTTCTGGTGGAGTCTGCCTTGGTTCCTGAGAAGCTGTGAGGCATCTGACATGCTGCCGATGTGTTGGTCTTTTACTGTATGTTGATAGCATGGAGAAGCACAACAGAGAAGCAGCTTGCAGGGTAAAAACAGAAGCTTCGCCTCTGGGTGAAGATGGCTCCCTACATCCCTGAATGCTAATAGCATCGTTTTAGCACCATTGTCACTCTCTAACCCACCCAGAGGTGCTGTGCCCACTTCCCCTCCAAGGTGTGCTAGCCTCCACTCCCATGTGTCCTTGCAGGAGAGGACCGGTGAAAGGACCCAGGTCAACTACAGTCCACAGCAGCTGTTCGTTTTAGAACTGGGGCTGGCAAGCTGTCTGTAAAGGACCAAGTGTTCGTTGAGATTTTGAGGCTATATAGTCTTGTGCCGCTGCCCTGTGGTGCCCCTGGAGCAGACAAGCACCCTTGAGCATCACAGAATGAGGGGTGTGGCTCCACACGGGACAGGTGACACCTTGATGATAATTCTCCAAGGCATTGTCTGACTTGAAAAACAATGCTAGCTGGGCGTTGGTAGCCCATGCCTTTAATCCCAGCACTCAGGAGGCAGAGGCAGGCAGATCTCTATGAGTTCGAGGCCAGCCTGGCCTACAGAGTGAGTTCCAGTACAGCCTCCAAAACAATACAGAGAAACCCTGTCTCGAGAAAAAAAAAAAAAGGAAAACAATGCTAATGTCCACCAGACTGCCTCAAGTAGCCCTCACATCACCTTTGCAGCTAGCTTTATGGTCACCTCTGAGCAAGGGTCCTTCCTGCAGGTCACCTGCTTGTCCAGACCGTAGTTCCCAGATGCAGAACTCCAAGCCTGCAGCAACAGCCTCGATGCTCGGCAATGTTTTGTTTTGCTGTCTGTTTCTTTGTTCAGTTGGTTTGGTTTGGTTTTTCGAGGCAGAGTTTCTCCGTATATCCTCGACTGGCCTTGAGCTCACAGAGACCAGTCGCCTGCCTCTGCCTCCCACCCTGGCTGCTGGGATTAAAGGTGTGGGCCACCAGCATCTTGAGAGCATTAGCTCATAATGGCCTCTGAGACTGAACTGAGCCTCCCCGTGGTGGCACAGAAACCCACAGGCATATTCTGTAAGTAGACTGGGCAGGTATGGGAGGTATGTGCTAAATGCTGGAGCCCCTCACCCAGCATGGCCTCTGGCAGAGTGTGAGCAGCCAGGTCTATTGTAAGATTCCACCCTTGGAGGCCACACAGGAATGGGGGGACAACATTCTGCTCTACTGAGGCCCTCTGCCCAGTGGCACCATGTCTCCTCCCACCCCTGGCTTTGTGTGGTGCTGTGGAGTATCCAGAAACCTGTTGTGTGTCCCTTCTAAGTGCACTTGGCAGCAGTGGGGAGGGGGGTGTCCTGGGGATAGGGCTGGCCTGTGAACACCCGGAGGGAGCAATGGCGAGGCTGTGTACAGGAATGTCCCACTTTACCAAAGCATGATAGTCAAACCTGTAACACACAAGGCCTGAAGGCTACCACCCCACATGCCTGACCAGCACCGCCCCCTCTGGCTGAGGACAATGTAAGTCGGGTATCTAGTCAGCCATGAACTCAGTGCCCTGCTGTGTGGGGTCCAGAACTCTAATAGGATTTCAGGCTTCCTCTTCGCCGCTCTTGAGTGACTGGTTCAGCTTTTCCACCTGGGAGACTGAGGCCAGAACCCGTGTGTGTTAGTGCCGCCCATTGCTGGACTTCTCCACCCTCA